AAATGATATAAAGATTCTATGAAAGTTTCATCAAAATTCATTCAGTGGTATGAGAGGAGTTGCAAATAAGAAATGTGCACCCCAAAGCGTAACAGACAGACGGACGGACGGACGGACGGACATCCTGATTACTATATACCCTCCCGCTTTTCAAGCGGGGGGTATAATGATATTTCCAAATTGAAATGCCATTCGTATTTTTGATTTCTTCTTGGTATGCTGCTTTTTATAATTGTAGTTTTAAAAAAAAATCAATGCAAAGAAGTCATTATGTTTGTGATATTATGTACTATCTATCGAAAACAAGAGGGTATAAAGTGATCCGGATGCCCGTCCGTGCGCACATCCGTCAGTCCGTATGTCTATCCGTCCGTGTGTTACGCTTTGGGGTAGCCATCTCTTATCCGCAACTCCTCTCATACCACTCAATGAAAAAATGAGACTTTCACAGAGTCTTTGTTACACCTTTTATTTTACTTTTCGATAGGAATATGTTTTGGGTTTGCCAGAGCATACAAGGGTACGGCCATTTTTTTCTATAATATTGAAGGGTACCTGTCTCTTATCCGCAACGCTTCCTATACCACTGAATAAAATTTAGTGATACTTTTACTGTTTCACAGACTGTTTATTACATAATGTCATTTTGCACCTCCTATTTTACGTTTTGATCTGACACATATTTCCTGTCTCCGATTGCAAAACATGGACTTTGCCATTATAACCACATGGGAGGCTCGAAGGTATAAAGTGAGCTCATCGCCCAAAGTACCTATAATTTTGGTATTTGTACATAAGAATGTATATGAGCACTTATGAGAACTTATAAATTGTAGAATGGCTCCTATCTAGAGAAAAAAATATATCTTTCACTTTTTTTTACTTCGGCTATGTTTTAGGTCATGTGGGTGATTTTCAACAATAACGAATTGCGACATAATAAATGACACATACATGTATGCATATGGTAAAAGAAGAAAACTAATAAATCGAGATATTTTAAATAGAGACTTGATTCAAAAAGTGCAGAGAAAGTTGTTATCTTTGATTTTTCATTTGTTTGGGCGCATCTTATGTGATTTAAAAAAATCAATATTTTTTTAAAACCCACAGTACAGCTTGTGATAGATACATAACCGGGATAATTTTGGTTTTGTTCATTACAATTCCAGGAAGTTTTTGGCATTTTTCTCAATTCAAGTCAAATAAATAGCCAAATTTTACGGAATTTATTTGTACCGAGTACTAATACACTAGTAAATTGCCTTTCGAGCGATGAATTTTCAAACACTTTTCAGTCTATTAAAGGCTATGGCATTAAGCTATACCAGAATTCAGGCTTGGGGCGAATTACAGTGTGAACTAATGTATTACATTATTATTACTTCAACAATTGGGCATTAAATTACCATTATTCTATTTTGTTAAAGTAATTACATTACTATTACTTTAGTAAAGTAATGCATTACAATTACCATTACTTTTAAAGGTTTTTAAAAATTGAAATACCCCCCGGTACAAAACTTTGCAATTTTTTTCCCCATAAGCACGCATCCACCCCTTCAAACCTAAGCATGATGAATCATGATTCAAAGAATGACTGCACTTAAGCTATGAGAGTTGGATCCCGATGTTTTGCGCAAAATAAAATTTCAAAATTCATTAAAATTATGTTTTATAGGTATTAAACAATATCTTAAGAGCAGGTTTTGGTATATTATATTACATGAAAGTATAAAACAATGCCGAGTAACACTAGCATTTGAAACGGGGGTCTAACAGTTTTATCTCATTTCTATTGTTATTCATATGCATACCAGCAGTTTTCAATGACTTTGTTTACATCGAGCCGCAACTTGGCCATTTTTCTTATTTGCACAGAATGTGTATTTTAATTTAAACTTATACATATACAAAGGACAATGTTGGCCAAGTTGCGGCTCATATCTAATTAAGTGAAAAAAATGTCCCCAAACTAAGATCGAGATAGCTACTAAATTAACCGGTCACCGAGCATCAGCGATTGATATTATAATCACCTTACTCACGTGACATTCTGCTGATCGATACGCTAACGCTTTCATTGAAATTTTCATTGTGTTTAAGTCTCTGTTGTGACAGTATCTATCGCGTACTTCCAACTTCAAACTATGGGAGATTTTTGCGCAAATTTTAAGATAAATAATGATGTCTCTTATTTAACTTTATGCTTTTCATTAGGGGTGTTTTGAAAAAATTCTGGTATTGACAGTGTCATTTAAGTAAGTACATGTATAGGCTTATGTCGCCTCTATACTATGGTCTGCAGAGCGATCGAGACATCTACCCCATCCCTTAACATTATAATCATTTAATAATTATGCACCATAAAATCCACACGATCTCTCTCTCTTCTCCATTTAAATTCGTAGTGCAAAAAAATCATGTGCCAGTGTTTACATTCCACAACCATGCGGTTTAAATATCTCCGCCTATTTGTGGATACCTTAGATTCGAAAGTGATCCCGTTCAAATTTCAGGAATTTAAGGCTTTTACATGTTCTTTTCAATTACATTTTCTTTAATTATAGAAATATTTATGACAAAAATTTCTAGAAATAAATATCAAAAGCATATGCTTGCACATTAATTATTGATTAATTTAGCGATATATTGTAATGTTAAGCTTAAAATGGTCAGCCGGAAAGGTTCCAAATGACGTTCTTAAGTGCACTCATTCTTTGATTTCAAGTACTTGTATATATTGCACTGTCAATAACTTACATTCATATGAAGTTCAAACTTTTGAATTGCCAGTAATATAAAACAGGTACAATATGCACTTTTTGTGTCACTATTGATGTCATAAAGTAATATCACTTTTGGGTCACTTTAACCCCTGCCCAAAATATCTAATAATAAAGCGAAGGCTTTTTTGATCTAGTACCTTATGAAAAAATAAATGACAAACTTGTAAAAAAGATTCACAGTAATTATGTACATTTTGCTCTGCTAAAAAAAAAATTAAATAATTCTTTGAAATCAATTCTTATCTAAAATAAATGAAAAACTTAAATGAAAGGTTAGTGTACTTTCAACAGAATAAGAAGTGTATTCAAATAGATACAGACAATTTATCTAAATTTATCAAAAAAAAGTTAACTTTTTCCATTCATATTTATCATTTGCAAATAATAAAAAAAAACAATAATAATGAAAAAAAATAAAGAAAGAATGATCCAAATATTAATTTTCATGTCCATTTTAATTTCATAAAGTAGGTATACATACAAAACAAGCGGGGGGTATAATAATGCTTAGTAATGCTATGAAATGTCAGCATTACACTGAATTATATGAAGTAATGTATTACATTACGATTACATGTAATGCAAATTTTTGGGCATTACACATTACTAACATTACTTACAGTTCATGTAATGCATTGCAATGCATTACCATTACAATTAGCATTACCCCAAGTCTGCCGGTATTCTAATATGTTTCTCTTTCAAACTTTCGTTTGTTTCCATGTTTGAGTTCAAAATGGGATAGGTTGAAATTTACTTAAATTTTTATTTTCTTTGAAACTAGTGCTCAATTAATATAAAGTTTATATGAAGGCCAAACTAGGACATTTTACAGAATTTTCTTTTTTCCGATAAAATTTCAAATTTTAGGTACCTTTCCCATTTTGTCATCTACAGTAACATTAGGAGTTTCTGTAAGATTCTGACATAGATTTAGGTAAATGGACAGATCCCGTGACTTCATTAATGATATATCACATGTCATTTCTTAAAAATGAGTTTCCCAAACGCATATCTCCATATCTAGATCTTGGCAGGGGTTTATGGCAAGGGTTTTAAATAAACAGGGGCCCGTTTTACAAAAGGACTTAAAACTTAAGTTAAAATTTAATTCTTCGTATAATTTTTTGATAAACATTATATCGAAAATTATTTTAACTTTTTAAAAGGAATGTGGTATGATATTTTTACACAAACAATTCCAATGAGAAATATCAATTTTGCAAAATATTACAATTATCTGAAGCTTTTGGTCTTAGTCGTAAGTTCTTTTGTGAAACGGGCCCCAGAACCTTGGCGTGTGTGTTTAATAAAAAATCTTTGATGTAATTTAATTATTTTGGCATTTCGTGCCGGCCACTTTTTGTCATAGTTTACATAGGAGCTGAATTGCTACAGTCACGGGTCTCTAGAAGTTGAACTCGTGCATATGCAGTGTTCAGTCACGAAATTGTTTTGTATGTGTTGTTCGATACCTAAGAGGATGCTCGATACGATCAATTCTTGAACAGAGGCAGGTAACTAGTAGATAAGTTGATGTTACGGGTATTTCCACAAGCTCGTTTTTTAAAAAAAAACCATTTTATTTCAGAAATCAAGCATTTTCCTGTAATCAACTCTTACCCTGGTCTAGTCGGAAAACTTCCAGGAAACTCGTTAATGTACGTTAAAATCAAACGTAAAAAGACTGGAATCAATGACTTTGGGATGTTTAACAACAAACTGGATATATATTTATTTGAACTAAAGGCATTTTCAAAGTGTTTTCCAATTAGCTAAATTTTAAACTGAATTACGTCAATTAGGTATACAACATCAAACACTTCATTTCCGTCCTTTTACAAATAACTATTATGACTTTCATTAAACTATAGGCATTTTCCTCCATATCCTTAACTGGAAAGTGTTTTCTAATTTTTTAAATTTTAAATTGAAATACACTAATTAGGTATACAACTTCAAACACTTCATTTCCGTCCTGTTGACTTGCATCTTTTTCATTCTCTTTTTCTTTGGTCTGAGAATTTTTTAGAAAATCTAGAAAAAACGATGCGATTAAGAAAAAAAGTAGAACCGCATAAATACAAATTTACAGAGGATCTTAACAGCTCAATCTCATTTATAAAGATAAGGATAGATAAAACTTCACAAAACAGATTTATACTTAAGAAAACGATATAACGATATAATTATCAGCGGTACAATTATCCAAGTACTGACAGCCTGTTAATCTTTTTCTTAATTTTTCCCCGATTTGGCAAGTCACACTTCAGTGTATCCATACTTCGTATTAATGGAGTTCTGACAGATATAGTTATCATGGATGTAATGTTTAAAGTCTCCCCACTGTAGTTATTGAAAGCAGAGAAAATGCAAGTATACATGTATTTTTGGTCTAAAGGAATTTTAAAGTGAAACAAAGACAAATTTTGAAGTAATTCCTCCTCACTATCATTGGTGAATTGAAAAATTCATTTTGTGCAATGACGAAGGATTAGCTCTCTAGTCTGTCATTATTCTTTTTTGGAGAGCTACAGTTATGCAGCTAACTGGAAGTCTGAAGGCAAACATCTGCCAGCGTTCCTCCACAAGATTGACCAATGGTTTATTTGCAAGATCTCTTATTCTTCACCAGCAATCATGAGAAAAGAGTCCTTAAAAAGAAGTTTTCTCATGATTGTTTCTGTCGTATATAAAATTAAATGTTTTTAATTTCACGCATACTTACGTAATTCTTAAGGATTGCTTCTTCTGTAATAATACCAGGGTTTTGATGTTTCCGTCAATATCAGATTTACTCTGTTCGACATTTCCCCGAAGATGCCATTTGGCATAATTCTTAATGCATGATATATCACTTTATACACATTATTAAAGAAATATGTAGAAATATTATGATATTTTGAAAAACTACGCAACAACTTTCACTTACAAAAGTAACTTTATCATATTTTTCAAAATACAAAAACTATATAAATTAAACAGAACCATAGAAAAAAGCTCTGGAGTTGTCGATATTGAATGTATAGACATCACATGCATGAAAATCATCTTAGAGGGTTTTTTCCTGAAGACAATGCCATCCAATGAGTAATTAGAATCATCCATGAGGCTTAATTTATCCTAAAAGGGATAGCTTTTTTAAATGCATTAGGTGTGCTGTAACTTACCTTTAACAGTCTGATTTCTAACCAATATAAATACAATAGATGATACTTCAAAACCCTTCCCATTGAACGTATTAGAAGCAACGCAAGCGTAAATTCCAGAATTGTTGGTTTGAAGGTTGTTTATCATCAATGAAGACCTGTTACTGATGAAGTATTTTATATCGTCTTCCCTTTTGTTGATAGATAGAGATAGAAATGTCCAGCCGTATGCTGGGGACGGATTACCGTCAGAAAGACATTCCAGTTTTAAATCATCACCGGTGTAGTATATGTCTTTGAAAGGTAAAAGTGTTATTATTGGCGTTCCCGGTCCATCTTCAAAATAAAAATTAAATTTGAAAAATAATAAATCTATAAATGATAGAGAATCTAACATGAGTATGACTGCCCCATCTAAGATTCACAAATAAAAGCCATGGCATCAACAATTTTTGCTAAAATGTTATAATAGTACCAATGTGTTATGGGCGTTTCGGCTTTGTTGGTACACTTCAAAAAAAGATAAAGTAAAAATAAAGAACAAATAATAGTACAATTTTAAACTGATAATAAAATGAACAATATGATGGATAAATTTTAAAAGGAAAGAGTACACTTACAAAGCACCGAGATTCTCTGTGAGTATCTCCCTGGTCCTGGGTCCTGTGTGAGATCATTTTGTGAAGAACAAAGAAATTTTATCCCGTTGTCATTTCTGGAAACTTTGTACTCTGTGATTACGTTTAGAAAAGTGGTACATTTCTTTGTTTTATTATTTGATGAATGTGAAGTGACCACGATTTCTGGAATATTCGTTTTCTCCGGGACTTTCCAGATCTTGATGTTTCCCGCCGGATTTCCAACATCAGCAGCACAAATAAGATGTACGGACTGATTCTCCTCCAACTGGTCCTGATGGTCCAAAACAAAATCTTCCGGTGATTTAGCTTCAGCTGTTTAAATTATATTTGTATGAGCTAAATAACAACAAAAAAGATTTTAAAAGGCAGAATAATAGCAATAATATCAACACAACGATATAAAAGAGGCATTTTTGAATTTAAATTTAAAATAAGACCATAAAAACTTACAAGGAAGAGGGAGAGTTTTCGCACGTTACGAGCCTTAACTCTACTCTTGGTAATGATATACGTATAGTACTAATGAGCAATGTTTGATACATAGACTACACTGTAACAACTCTATACATACCCATGAGTTGGAGAAAAATAATACATTGCATTTTTACTTTTATTCCCATGCATTTATTTAATTTATATTATATCTGTTTAAGTACAGAAAAAAAGATGTAACAATATTATTGTCAAATTACCTTCAAAAGTAACTAGAGTGAAGCTTTCTCTCTGTTTTTCCACAGGGTAGACAAAATACTCTATCCAACATTGGTACAATCCTTCGTCACTGCAGACAACATCGTGAATCATCATTGTGGCACTGGAGGATACACTCGTATTTGATGTGATCAGTTTTGTTCTATTTGCAAAAGCAGAAGCCATGTCAGGATGAATATAGGGTTCTTGTCCGCCAGGAGGAGAAAACACCGCAACATCTGCGAATCTATTTCCTATTCGTTTTTGCCATTTAATTTCTCTATCTGATATACTTTCTCCGTGTTCCACGGAATAATTACAGCTTAGAACAAGGCTTGTGTCACTTCGAAATTTTACCTTAAGTTCAGGTGAAGTCGTTATGGTCAGTAAGGTTACACCTGGTACAAAATTTTTTATTATTTTGTATGTTATAAATAATTATATTCAAACGTAATTCACACTTTTGAGAAGCAAAATGATATATCAGCGTACAAAACCATTTATTTTATTTTTTACAATATTGTCTTTAATGTGAAAAAGAGCAGGCACTTATCAGGAGTTTTAAAAGAAAATTATTAATGTATGCATTCAGTAATTAGGAACTTGCAATAAATAGAGAGTTCGAAATCACAAATCTTATTACAGACACATACGTACAGGCTGTGTTTCTTTTTTCAAAACTAGAAATTTTGAGAAATTCATCTTCCACAAGCACTAAATTTTCATGGAGTGAAAAAAGGAGATTCAGTGAAATATATGGAGTAAGTACAGTGTGCAAGTTGGATAAACAAGAATATCAACAGTTTTAAAGTTCATCATTTCATAAGTTCCTTGGTCGATTTATTAGTTAAAGTGCAGTTACATATCAGATCCTAGGATCCATTGATTTCACTTACAATATTAATGAAAGTTAATAAAGTGTCCTGTACCAGCTTTATGGTTCAGTTTTAAATGAAACGTTTATGGATTTCTTAGAAAACAATACTAGTTTCCTGTTTATAGTTGCATATCAAGGAGATTCTGTTCTAAGAGGTCGCGTTAGAGCTAGAGATTGCTTTTACTCTGGAACTGAAATAACCATTAACGATACACAATTCTTGTATTCCCCCCCCCCCCCCGCCAAATCACATTATTATCATTTCTATGACTATAATATACAACTACTAGTATGTTGCTGTAAAAACGACATAAAATATTGATTTGTATTAATTTCAGAGCGTGATTATTTTAAATTCTTTAAACAAAAAGTTCAGTAGCACATAATACTAGTAGTCTAGAATTTTCAATTTATTATGTTATTTTATTTCTATTATTATGTTATTTTATTTCTATTTTATTTTTATCAAAAATATGTTTTTAATGTTATGTAATTGTTAAAAAATATCAAATTATTTTAAAAGTTCTGTTGAAAGCTGTGCGCGAAAGACGTTATCTATGTAGTTGATTTTGAAGTCTTATTTTCAATATTTTTCAAATTGTAGAAAAGTCTCTCCCCCCTTTCGTTGCTCTTAATAAATTCGTTTTGCAATTGACAGCCATTTGTAAAATAGGTAAATGAAAAGTAAAAAGAAGTCATACTAAATAAATAAATAACTCACTCTCTATACACCATAATTTGCAATCTTCATTGGGTTAAAGGGTTACACTCTTTAGACATGAAGAAATTAGTTTTAAATAATTTTACCTCGACTGGATATAGGAGTATTTTTTTTAAAACTTACTCTTCTATTTTATATTGATTCCTGTTTTCATCCAAGAAAAAGTAAAAATTCTTGACACGTTTTACATGTTTTTAAATGCTTTTGTTAACATCTGATATATTCCTCATCGGGTATTTAAAAATTCGTTTGAAGTAAAAAAAAAAGTGCTATTGATTTTTATTAAGATGTGAACGTTAGAAAGTTAAAGTTATGAATTTCAGCGTATTAAAAAAACTGTTACAGAAGCAGTGCACCATTAATTAAAGTTAAATAGAAGTGGAGGTTCAAAGGTTTAACAAAAAATGAATAAATTCTTGCCTTTTATCAGGTAAAGCATAAGAATCTCAAGTGTTATCATCTTTTTGATGTACAAATCACAGAGTCACTGGCCTTTTACAAGATTATATGTATTCTTTAAAAGAAGAAAAATATATGCTTTATTATTGAAATTTTGATGTTCCTGTGTTCGAGATACAACTACTAATAAAAAAGAGCTGTATATTCTGTCGTCTCTATAATGCCATTTGAATTGTCTTCGCGCTGTGTTTGGCTGAGTAATGTACTGGGCGGGGTTTCAGACATATTTTCATTCCAATGAAAAAAAATGAAATGGAAATACAGGAAATATTAGGCTGTATTTTTTGTTTATAATGATGATCATTGAGTTTGTTCGTGTGATCATTTAATGCAACCTCTTTAGTCACCTGCAATCCAGTAACACTAATTACATGTGTACTATATCATAACTAAGCGACAGGGGCATAATCTTTTTATCTTTGGTTTTTTATTTCAAAAAGAAAAAATATCCCTTTTCCCATGAAATGTGGTAAAATATGATTTTTATCCGACGAGTTGTGTGTTTTTATTCCCGAGCCACAAATCATAGGAGATCCTTTTTATCCCCTGTTTTATACATCACTCTCAAAGTTTCACACTGATTTATTTCGGCGTCTATTTTAATTTACTTCACCGCCCTCATGAAAAACCCATTATGATGTCACAACTGAGGGGCATAACAAAATCCAATGAGTGATAACCAAGGAATAAACAGATGAAGACATTGAAGAGGTAACATGGGGTAAAATAAATTTATGCAACGTTTACACTAAATATTAAGAAATCAATGCTTATCATTATAACATGATAATGGTCAATTGTCTTATTACGTTGAATATTAAACAACAGATGAGTTTGTATGTTGTTTAATGTCCCTCTCGAGAATTTTTCACTCATACGGAGACGCTTCCACTTGCCGACGGAGAGCTGCAAATTTGTCTTATATTTGGCACTTAAGGTGATTGTGCAGTGAGGGATCTTTTTGTGCCAGCACCTACTGCGACACAGTACCTCGGCAAGTACGGTCTCATCCGAAACACTGGTCTCCACGTTGTTTATTCGCTACGAAAGCTTGCTCTGAGTACGGTCAATTTTTAAAGCGAGACATGCTTCTCACTAATAAGTTGATGTCACAGGTGTTTCATCAACCTCGTTTAAAGTCAGCATTTTGTAAATTCTATGCCTGCTATACTGACAATGTAAGTAAATATAATCTATCATTAATATATAATCGTGGGTCGTATTTTATGTGACTCTTTCATACTTTGTTTTTATATTGAATTTGACTACTTAAAATATTTTAACCAAACAAAAAATTTTGCCGGTCAATATTTGGTGTTTAATGCTGCTACACATCCGATCTAACCTCTCAAATCTCCAGGGGTCCGTGTTTGGTGCCCGCTTTACAGATTTGTATTGTTTACGGATTTGTTTGGAACCAAATCTGTTCTTTTCATCCTTTAGACATGATGCAGAACAAATAATTACCTTTCCAAAATAGTGTTAAATCTACGAAAATTAAATACTAGTAATCATGCTTATATTAATTTTATTGAAAGTTGCTAGATATTTCACTTATCTTTCTGGACTCAAAACGCAAAACTAGGAAATATAAATACAGAAATTTGAAGGTTCTGCTGTGATTTGTACCAGGAAGTGTTGGAAACATATTTCTAGTGTAGCCTTTTCAGGCAATATTGAAAATGAGGAAATGGTACTATCTGTTAAAATGTTCTCAATTAAAATTATTTCAAATCTTTTAATTATAATTTTTTTTATCAAATTTTAGCCTTAAACTTTAATCTTAAAATGAGCATACACTTTGGAGTCCCAAGAAACCAGAGTGCTGAAAAATGTGTTTATCTATATGAGGTATGGCTGTAATAAACTGTCTGACTACTGGATGTACAAGTAATAAATATCTTTTAAAAAAAAATGCAACTGTTTACAACCATTCAGCCTTACCTGAAATGATATTTCCAATTAAAATGTAAATCTTATTGGAATGCTGCTTTTTGATTGTAGATTTAAACAGTCAAAGCAAATAAATCATTCCACTTTGTTTAATGATAGTGACTTTTGATTTTATTTTGTACATTGTAAATATTTGGGAGCTTCAGGACGTGAACAGTAGAATGGTACTGTCTTATCACAGGAAAATTCACCTTCAAAAAAGATTTTTTTCTACTTCGGCTGTGTAAGTTACTGGGCATAAAAATATTAATAAACTTTAACTGGATAAGGCTTAAAAGGACGCAAACATTTTACCAAATTTCCTAAATTCCGACAGAATTTCGTCAAATGTGAGATAAACTGTCCGATTTTTGCACGTTCAGTTACATCAGGGGATTCTCTAAGATTCAGACCTGTATATAGGTGAAAAACAGATCCAGTGACTTCATTTATGGTATATCACAAATCACTATAAAAGTAATTTTCCCAGTTTCGCGTCCTCTTGTTTAGAACTCGGCAGGGGTTTCTTGCAAGGGGTTTCATAGCATTACTGGGAAATTAACAAAACTTTCTCGAATGGATTTTATAACACCTTATCATGTAGTTTATACAGGAGCAGTCACGGGTTTCTGGAAGCATGTGCCGCGTCGAAGTCATCGGACTTTTTTGTGCGGTTTATCAAATACCTAATAGGATGCTCTGAGTATGATCAATTCTTAAACAGAGGCAGGCTCCTAACAGATAAATTGATACTAAAGGGATTTAAACAGCCTCGTTATTAGAAAATCAGCATATCCTCAATTCCATGCTTGTTATTATGATTTGTTAGCACAGAGTTCCCCATGATCTGTTTCACTGTGCTGCAAGTCAGACATAACATCGTACCGAAGTCATTTAATTGATGTAAATAAATTGCTTAAAATTTTCAACATGTTCAAGGAACTCAAAAGTATTTTACTACATGTTTTCTGAAGTTTATTTTTTTTTTGTAATTCGGTAATTCGATCAAGAAAACTGACAAATAAACATCAGGGCAAATTTACTTTCAAAAGTGTAAGGTAGTCCGACTGTATCGACCAGAATTTCCAATGAACATGTGTTTTTACTTTTATCAATATGTACGACCATACCATATGTGCAACGATTTAGCGATTTTGAGAAAGGGTGTGTTTATGTATTCGTTTGTAATTATAATGA